TGGGATGGCACCGGCCCCACCCTTTCTTTTAACGATGAATTTGTTCTGATTTTAACCCCCCCAAAAAAGTGCAGTTCCCAACTAGCTGCTTTCTGCCGAAGGTGTCATGCATTTTGCCTGCCAGAAGTCAAATTTAGTACCTTAATCTGCTTACTGGTATGCTCTTCCCTGTCCCAGCCATTAATCTCTTATGAATATTCCTGTTATTTTGACCTCTCGGTGCAATTTGGGTTGCGATCCAGCTATTGCCATGACAGCCTAGCCAACAAGCCTGGGCTTCCTCTCCTTAACCCCTTTCAGCTATAACTCCATGCATGAGCTTTGTATTCATGTGTGACCCCTCTATCAGTTATTTTGGACTCAGTTTCCTATGTCCTTCCTCCTGTTGTGCGTTATTTTGATTTACCTCGGAAGCATCCCTGCTCCGAGCTCTCCCTGGTCTGTGGTGTGGCATGGGCTCCTGTGCCTCCAGAAAGCCAACCCTTTCTGTGGGAGGCTCTCAAAGACCACATAGTTCTGCTCAGTTTAGGTCGAACCCTGGCATTAACCCCCCTGTTTTCCAGAGAGGTCACCAGGACACTGCTGAGTGGCAGCACCGAAATTGGACACCAAAGCCAGAGACACTGCCCGCTTTCGTCCCAAAGCTTTTTTCCCTGCCGCGCACGTGCCTGCACGCCAACACCCAATTCAGTCAGCTCTCTAGAATATCTGCATGTGTTTTGCTGCTTAAATCTGAGGAGGGTAAGCTGGGAAAACATCTAGTGCTGTGACACTTGCTGTACTGCAAGTGCCTGGTGTTTCTTGCCTGTTACGGTCCTGGTTTGACTGCAGGGAGAAGTGAGGAAGCAGGGTGGAAAGCACGATTGGTCTTCCCTTCTTCCCCTGGGAAAATCTGTAAAACACCTTGGCTGAATTAGAGTGATCCTGGCTCTTTGGATGAAAATCTTGTGTTTTGAGGTGGGAAACATAGCTGCTGCCATGCCGAGTAGCCAGAACTAGATTCAGCAAGGCAAATCTGGAAGCCTGGCTGACGAAACGCCAGCCATGATGGTGTCTTTTTTTTTCTCCAGTTCACTGCGAAACTTCAGTTTAATCTAGTTGAACGCATGGTAGGTGCTTTGACATTGGGCTGCCGCTTGTTAAACTGGTCGGGGATATGGAAACTGGCCAGTTGGGTCACCTCCAGCCTTGGGTCCTGCCTCTTGCGGGAGGAGCTGGGTGGAAAGGGCAGCTCCAAGAAGAGCTGGCTCCAAGTGCCAGCGTTTCCCCTGACATGATCTTGCTCAAGCACTTTCCCTTGGGCTGTGGCTATTGGTCGAATGTGTGTAACAAGGAGTGTGGTTAACCCCAGGCCTCCCTGGACATGCAGACCTGTGTCCCACCAGGAGCTTCAAGGTGGAGATTGCTGGGGGACCCGTGAGAGGTTCCACACTGGCTACTGGTTGCTTTTCTGGGTTCTCTGGGCAGGGGAGAGCCTCTGTCTGGGACTTTCAACTGTGTTGGCATCCTTGGGTCTGAGCCTTTAAGGAGAAGCAATGAAGTGGTCTGTCCTGGAGCCCACATCTCAAGTGCTTTGCACCACCATACCTCTATACTTTGCGAGGGGTCATCCCCATAGATGATGATGCCCCATCCTGCGGCACGTAACACAAACCAGCGAGAAGAAAACCTTGGCCAAGCAGAGTGGTCGTGGGGTGAGTAACGCAGCAAAAATTGAAGCCAAGACCTTCTACCTGGGAGAGAGATTGATGGAAAAAGCTTCCATGCTGCGTTGGCATGACAAGAGTTGTCCTCCTATGGCTTGTGCAGACCTGGAGGAGCGTGCCCTGCTAGACTCAATCAGCTCGATATGAAGGAAAATGTGATATTCAGTGTTAAGATCCAGCTGGTAACAAATTCTTTCCAGCACCCTTCTGGGCACGGTGCTTTAAAGTGCTTTTCTTTAAACTTGTATGACCGGCTGCATCGCTGCAAATGGGAGGTTGAAGGGCCAAAGTGTCCAGATCCTGCTGGAATCAGTTTCATAGAGAGGATTTTGCTGTTTAAAACAAACAAAAAGAAGATTCTTGGAGCAAGAATCAAAAAATCTAAAGATGTGAAAGAATACTTTATGGATTTATTATTGGAAAATGAGTTGATGTTGTTGGCTAGGAACTAAAGAGGAAAGCACTGGGGGAACCCGATACCTTATACTCTTAAACTGGACTGTGTTTCACCATCAAACATGCCTTATTTTGTACGAAGGTGCTGATATAAAAAGGTGCGGGTGGCTTTGATGTGCAGTGGCTTGTTTGAGGCTGGCGTTGGGTACCCCACCGAGCAGATCTGCTTTTCACCGTTGTGATGGTGCCATGCTGGCGGGGATGGGGGAGGCAGACCCGGCTGCAGCAAGTGTCTTCAGCAAAAAGTGTGTTTCCCAGACGTTGGGTACTCAGCTGTGGGATGGGGTGGATGGATTAATCCGAATTTAAAAACTGGTCCAAAGCTCAGTTCTCTGAGATTGGGGCTGTTGGGGGATGGAGGGGGGTGGTGATGTCTGCTCTGCGCTCTCCTGCAATAATTTCTAACCCAGTTTTCCTTTCTCTCCCAGCAGGAACTTGCGTGAGGTGACAAGACAAACATGCTTAACTTAAGGACTTGTGTGGCAAAGCTGAGGCCGTTGACGGCCTCACAGACTGTAAAGACAATTTCCCAACACAGGCTGGCAGCACCCAGGACGTTTCAACAGATCAGGTGCTACAGCGCACCAGTGGCTGCTGAGCCTTTTTTGAGTGGGACTAGTTCAAACTATGTGGAGGAAATGTATTATGCTTGGCTGGAAAATCCCAAAAGTGTACATAAGGTAAGGAGCAACCTCGCCAGGATATTGCCTTTGCTTCTCTCTCTGTGTGTCTGAGCAGGGGTTTCAGGTAAGTGCACGTGTCTCAAGGAGGATTTGAATTCAGCTGGACGGCCCAGATGGTTGTGGATGGTCCTTCTGCCTCGCTTTGCCCAAAAGAAACATCAGTGATTCCTCGAGCAAGAGCCAAGAGGAGTTTCTCTTTTCAAGAGGGAGCGTCATGGGCTTGTGGGACACAGGCAGCGTCCTGGATCGCAAACGGATACAAGGAATACCTTCTCCTGGGAATCGACCTTTAATGAGCTCCCAGTGCTTTATTTTTTCCATCTCTGATGGCTCATTGGGAGGGTTTGTTCTGGAGTGGAGGATGGGGGACAGGCAGGGAGGGTATTCTCCACAGCTTGACGGGTTTCCTTTTTGCTTCAGGCACAGGTGGTGTTACATGTCAGGGTAGATGGGCTGTAGCTAAGCTTGACTTTGAGCTTGTGTGCATAAAGCCAGGCTGCTGATTGCAGCCTGGGGAGGGGAACTGGGTCTGGTGGCACCAGCTGCTCCTAAACTTGAAACTGAGAAGGCAACCCAGCCGTGGGCAGTGTGTGCAGAGATCTGTCTCGGTCTGAATTACTGAAGCTCTTCCAGTGAGGAGAAGGATGGCTCTTTACTGTACAGTCCAGCTGGTGAGGACGCAGCTGGGAAGAGGATTTCTGAAACCTGACTGCATTTTTCCCCATCCTCAGTGTTTCACGAGATAAATGTTCCTCTAGAGACTAAGTCTCAGCATTTCCCAATTTCATACATGTCCTGATGTAGAGCATAGATTTTCTTTATTCAGTAGCACATGAGCAATCTGCAAACCAGGATGCGATGGTTAAATGAGCAGTCAAGGGTGAATAAGGAATCTCATGCCCCAACACTCGCATCAGCGTTGAGTGTGTTTTCGATGGCACCAATCCCGCACACCCAAAACGTATAGCCTGTAGGGTACTGTAAAGGCCTTAAGGTAGGATCAAAGCTGGATTTTCACAAACAGTGTTGACTTTATGCCTCTTTCGAGGCAAATGGGTGGCTGAGCCAAGCAATACAGACTCAGCACAAAGTATGTTGGTTTAGTTTGTACCCTTTGTCAAATGGTGACTTGAAAGCTACCCAAGCATACACACATGGTGCAACCCAGTCCTTCAGAGGCAGGATATTGAATTAAAAGCCACGAATCTAAATGCTGTAGTCTAATTTACAAGTAAGGGTTACACCATGCTTGTCCCAGTGACAGGCACAGTTGTGTCTTTGGCAAAGAGTCTTCACAGTTTGATACCGTCTCTTTGATGTATAGCCCCTGCTCAGCCTTGAATGTTGCGCTGAGGAGATGTGAGAGTAAACATCAAGACTAATGGGGGCAGCTGGCTGGGAAGTGTCTTTGGGTCCTGAGGCCAGACGTCTGGATCTCTTCTGGTCTTGTCTCCTCTTTAATGTATCCCCTGTAGCTTCCATCAGGTTGTCTATAGGGTAGGCAATGCATGCAGTGCTGTACAGGAGTCCTCATACATGCTTGGCTAAAGAAATTGGGGGAGAATTTAGGTTGGAAGCAGCCTCTTGAGCCTCTGCCCCGGTGTGGCCAGCTTGGGAGTGGCACCCAGCTTGGAGGTTGCATCTAGCTTCACAGCTAGACCAGGTCACTTAGGGCCTCGTGCGGTCAACTTTTGAGCACCTACAAGGGTGAAACTCCCACCACCTCTCCAGGGCCCCAGTCCGATGTTTATGGTGAAGAATTGCAAGTGTCACCCCTGGAAATCAATGTCCCTTGAAGTACTTCTGAGTGCTTAGAGAGCAGTGCAGAAGTTGATACACGATTCTGCCTGCAGTGCAGCTGGGAATGGTTTGTGACAGCAGGAAAATCAGTGTGAAATGACTTCCTGCCAGGAAGCAGACCTAACACTAGTAGTGTAAAAAGCAAGTCCTGTGGACTGCTTTTTAAACAAAATAAAGCTAGTGTCCTGCTCGGCAGAAAGCAGAGTGGGTCAGGGCATTTGGACTAGATGATCTTTGAAGGTCCCTTCCAACCCAAACCATTCTCTGATCCCGTGAAATTCAACTCCAAGTCCCAAAACTTCTGGTGAGGTTGAGACCTGAGGTTTGATGTGGACGTTGCTGTTGCTTCTGGATGCACTTGGCCCTCAATACTTGTCTCGTCTATCGTGGGTGGATCCCACCTCATTCCAGTGACCCCTTTACCAAGATCCCTTCCCAGCTTTTAGCTTTGCCCCTTTCTCCTCTCCACACTTTTTCATGGCTCACCCCATCCCTGCTGGGACACCAAGCTGCTGTGGTGGGATCAGGGTTGCAGCCACCCTGGTCACGCCTCGTGAGCCATTCCTGTCAGCCTTCGTCCTCCCTGGTACAACGGTGAAGGAGCAGTGGAGTGTGCCACCCCCGTCCCTGATAACAGTTGGTCTCCATCCCATTAGATGTAGGGTCAGATCTGAGGGTGGAGTTCTCTGAAACAGCCGGGCTGTCACACGGACCTGGCTGAGGCTTATCTGTTCCCTGCACAGAGCAGAGACCAGCTGCGCCTTGTTGTGCTGCTTTTTGCTGGTGAGGGTGAGACCTTCAGCGAGGGAAGAGCTGGGGTTTCTTTGCTGTTGTTGCCAAAACCTATGAGAACTCCAGCTGGCATGACCGTCCTGCTGAGCAAAATGAATTCACTTCCTCTGTGCAAAAAGTGGTGGTTTAAACTGCAGAAAATACTTAAGTGTTTGTTTAGAGTAGGGAAGGTTTTTTTAAAAAAAAAGCTATTTTAGGCGTTTTTCTGTGCAGTCCTTCAGCTGAACTTCAATTTCTGAGTCTGATGAGCAAATAAGAGCAGAGCTGGGGAAAGAGGAGGCGAGGGTGTGGGGTGTTGGTGCTGGTGGGCTGCCATGTGGTCAGTGCTGGTCACTTGTGGGACCACTTCCTGTGGGAGCGGGGACATCCTTCTCCTGCCCTGTGGGGCTGAGCAGCTCTTTGCCAGCTCGGGTACGGCGCTGGCTGCTGGCAAGGCTCGGCATAGCCCACGCCATCTCCCCAAGGACCCCGAGCAACTTGCTTCAGGGCAGGTGGTTAGAGACCTTTGACTGGAGGTAGATGATATCCAGAGTCATACATCTGTGGCAAGTTTAGCTTTCCTCAACAGCAGCCTCTGTGTTTAGGTTGAACTGGTGTAAAGGGATACAGCTCTCCCTGTATGTGTAGACATCAAACAGTCTTTAACATGGACTTCTTAGTATGCCAGTGTTTTGATTTTTATGTTGAAAGTGGCTTTGTGACCACAGCACGTGTAGACTATGCCATGTAACCCCAGCTTCACTGGCTTGATGGCAGGAGCCTGCAGTCTTCAGTGAGGCCAGACCCCCACGCCTGGCCCTGGGAGGTGCCTTTGCTGCATCCTTTGCAGTTGTACTCGCAAATAGGGGCCCAGGCTGAATTTGTGAGAAGTCTCACTTGAGAGTTTGAAATGTTTGGGTTTCATCCCCCCCATCTTCAAAAGCGAGCGCCCTGGAGAATTGAAAGTCCTTGTTTATGTTGATAAGGGACAAGGTGATGTGCAGAGCACAAACCGATTGATTGCTGCTTGACCCCTACTCTCAGCAAAGGTTACCTGCCATAAATTTGATTTGGGCTCCTCTTCTTCCAGCCTTAAGGTCTGGATATACCTCCTCCTGCTAAAGCAGGAGGTGCTGCCTGGCTTGCCAGCCTTGCTGAGCAGGTCTGGTTGTCACTTTCTGTCCCCTGGAGTCTGCGGCAGGAAAAGGAGCAGGGACGCGGCCTGAGCTGGAGGTAAAGGCTGTGTCTCCCTTGTGCCCCTCCCAGCCTGGAGCAGCCCCAGCCCAACCTGAGGTGCCCCGCAGCAGATGGGAGATGTCTCCCCTCTTCCCTTGCTGTGTGTACCTGACCTCTCAGTTGGCTCTGTGGTGGAGGCTGGGACTCACAGCCTTCTTCGAGAACAGAGTCTGATAAAGTGAAAGGTGCTAGTTCCACTTGGTGAGTTGTTTTTGGGGCTGTTCTCAGTAGAGATGCCTGCAGTGAGCTCTGCTCAGAGCTGAGCTCAAAATCCCTCTAAAGCCTGAACTGTCCAGGCTCGCTGCAGTCACCTGGCTCTCCTGTCCTGCTTTGCTGGCGTGTGAGCAGTGGCACACAGGGGTGGCAGGAAAGCTGGTCTGGGCTGGTGCCTTGTGCTGCGCCTGTGGTGGGATGCGTGGCCATGGGACAGTCACAGCAGGGACCTGGGGTTGAGGGTGTTTAGAATGCCAAGGCATGGGGGCTGCCTGCGCACTTAGGAGTGGGGAGATACTGGCTTTGAGCTCTCCTCATAAAAATGAGGTGAAACTGAGCTCTCTTATAGCCTATATATATATACACACACACCCCCCTTACCCTATATATGTATATATATCTAGGGCATAAGAGCCGGAGGAGTGCTCACAGGGCTGCTGTGGGCACTGGGCAGATCGGAGGGGAATAACCCAATAAGCTTTATTACTGGTGTTACCTTTGGCAAGTACTGGATTAAGGCAAAGTCCTCCTTCCCATGATATAGCAGGATAAGGCTGATGGGGTTGTTCAGCCTCAACCACAGGATACGTGAGCTCCAAAGACACCTCTGTGGGTCACCAGAAACCCCTGGGGTGGCCCTTGAATACCCTCAAATTCGAAACCGTATAAGCAACATCCAAGCTGATGTTTTTATAGCTCTTATCAGGGCCACAGCCATCACTGGGGGCAAAGCCTGCAGTCAGTAGCTGGAAATACTCTGTAATTACGTTGGGCAATAAAGCACTTAGAGAAAGTGCCTGAGCTGACCGAGCCAGTACCGCACCTTGTTTGGAAAGCTTAAAATGAACTTTTTCCTTCAGAACAGAAGGAAATCGCATCTCCAAGAGATAAATATTGTTGAATGTCAGAAGGGAAGAGGTCATGAAGGCGACACCTCTTCCTCCTGGCTCTGTCCCTGTCCCCCCAGCACCACTGCCAGCCCACTTGCTGGGCTAGCAGATGCTCCCTTTCTCTTGCCTGTCTTTATTTTCCAGTACATTAAAAAACCTTAAACCACTGAGCAAAGTGGCCAGCCAGGTTCCTCCCCATCCCACGGGCATGGAGCCCATGCCAGGGTGCTCGTCCCTCCTGCTCGCAGGAGCCAATGGCTTCTGGGGCATGTGTGAGCCTGGGGAAGTGATGGAGCTTGGGCTGCTCTCACCAGTTGTCAGGAGTAAGGATCGTACAAAAAGCAGCTCTCCTTCTTTTCCTACCAAAATCTGCTTTAGCAGAGAGCAGTCAGAACAGGATTGGGTGTTTTCTGTGTTTGGTGGTTTTTTTTTTCCTTTGGCGGAGCTACTGTTTATTAGTTATGGTGCCAAATTGTTCCAGATTTTATTTATGTTCCTTCAGTGTGACCTGTTTCTAAATTTAATCACTTTGCGCAGTCGTGTGATGGGACGTCTGGGTAAATCCAGGCTGGAAATAACTTCCCAGGGCTTGTGATGGGCGCTGCAGCCAGAGGAACTCCAGGGAAGGGGGAGAGCTGGTGCTCCTCTGGAAAAGGTCAGGTCCCACCTGGGTGCAAAAGCTGCTTTTTCTGCCCCAAGCTGCCACTAGAGCTGCTCTGAAGACTCTTCAACTTGGTTTAAACACGCTGGGGTTGCCTGGACAGCACTTTGCCCATCTGTGCATCACCGAGGTTGCGTTTGGTGCTCTCTGCAGACACGAGGTTCAGGGACATGCAGGGTGCTGATGCTGCCCGCAGATGCTGCTCCGCCTTGCCCTCGTGCTTTGCTATTGCTCAGTGGCACGTGGGAAGCGGGCAGGGGCGAGAACATGATGGGAGATGTGGCTTGGGCTTTTTTCTGTTGGTCTCTCCCCTTCCCCAGATCCATTGATGCATCTTCAAGCATTAATTTGGGTTTGGCCTGGGACACTTCTAGGCTCTTCAGGCAGTGCTGGATAAGTACCACAAAGTTACACCAAGTCTGTCGAGGGATTTTTTTTGGGGGGGTTTGCTTTGTTTTCTTAACACCTAGAAATGTCCATCTGCAGGGGGGTACAGGAGCAGCAGTGATATCTGCCCTACTAAGGGCACAGGAGAGCTGGCACAGGAATATGTGCATAGCACTGGTGTTGGCATCGCTAAAAGGATGGGGAAAAATTGGAGAGGGGACAGAAGAAGTAAAAAGCCATTGCTGGTTGAGAGCTGGACAGCAACAGGTTACGCTGCGACTTGGGTTTCCAGCTGTTTAGACCACAGAAAAGAGGAAGAGGTGTATTTGATTACAGGGTAAAAAATATTTTCCAGAAATTATTGTGAGTATTTAGAGGGCAAGGAAACAAGAGCCTGAAGACCAGGCTGGGGCTTGTTGCTCAGAGTAGCAGTTTCGAGAGCTGAGCCGGCCAAGGGGTGTCGTGTCCTGTCCTGAGTGCTGCTGCTGAGGGAGGCTGGGCTCCAGGGATGGTCTCATGCCAAAAGAAACAATCCAGATGGATGAGAAATGGGATAATGGGAATAGTGGGAGAGCTTTAGTGCTTTCCTGTCCAAGGCAGGTAGGTGCCTTCAGCAGTGGCTGCGTGGAGCTGGGGTGCAGGGGAGGAGGCATGTCTGCCCTTGGGGGATTTTACTCCCTGCTGTGGCAATAGACCTGAGACCCCAGTAACCTTGAGTGAGGAGGTGTTTGGGGTGCAGGTAATGACCCTGTCACCTGTCTTCTTTCCCTTTTCCTAGTCATGGGACATCTTCTTCCGCAACGCCAATGCTGGAGCTGCTCCAGGCACCGCTTACCAAAGCCCCCCTCCACTGAGTACCAGCATTTCCACACTCTCCCAAGCCCAGTTCCTGGTTCAAGCGCAACCCAATGTAGATAAGCTGGTGGAGGACCATCTCGCAGTCCAATCTCTCATCAGGGCATATCAGGTAAGGAGACAGGCTTTGCACCAAGAAGGAGTGTGTCCTCTGTAGAAGGGCATGTAGTGACCGAGGTGGGCTGGGGTTAGTGTGGTTGATGCATGCGTTTTGCATGGAGAGCGTGTAGGATGCGTACTGGGCTGCCTGATTTTTAACAGGAGCTGCTGATCTGTTGGGGCGGAAGCTCAGCTGATGCTCTGCTGGACAATAGGAAGATTAAAGCTATTGTCACCCAGAGTAATCACGGTGGCAGGGACAGGGAGTTCTCCACACAGGGTAGTTTGCTGGCTTCTGCAATGATGCTCCTGTGCTGTGGGCTCTTGCCACACTCAGCAGTGGTGTGGGACACCCATTCCACTTCCCCCATGTCACTGAGAGAACTTCTTGAGGTTCTAAAATAAAAGTTCAGTAAATATTTTCTTGCGATTAGTGACTGGGAAGAGGGCTGTGGTGCAGCTGGGCTGCAACTCAGACCGATGCTGCCAAAATCAGCCTGTCACAAGAAACAAGGAAGAAAACATCCTCTAGCTAGGGGACGGTGAGCCAATATTTTAACTTGAGAGAACATTTAAATGTGTTTCTACATCTGTGTCATCCTTTCACCTTTGGTTGCACTCTGGTTTGTCAAGTGTGCGGGCTTTAATTGGGGCTGTGGTGAGAAGCTAACAAATGCAGCTGCTGTGGAGGTGTAACCATGGTCGTCTTACCTATTCCGGCAAAGAAGCACGCACTGCAAATCGGGTTCCTGCTCAGGTACGGGGAAAATCCGATGGACAAGGCCACATTGACAAGGACTGCAGCACTGGGCAAGTCCAAAGGGCTGCCCAGCCTTGGCCCTGCTTTCTGGCTTGAAGGAAGTGCCCCTGCCCTGCCTGCCTCCACAGCCGAGGTGCCGACGTCAACACTGGGGCACTGCCCTGCTTTTCTTTAAGAAATGGAAGGTGCGATGTGTTTGTGAGGACCTGTGTCCTCCCTTGTGGCTGATTTCATGGGAGGTGACCACCTGGCCAGCTAGCTGCAGCTCAGGTGGATCCTGGTGAGCGTTTCTAAAGGCCATGCAGCTCTCACTGGTGGACCAAGTGGGCAGACACCAAGTTCAAACAAATAGTGGCTGATGTGTAGTTGGAGGCAGCAGCGATTTGAACACAAAATCCTCAACCTCTTCTGCATTCCTGTCACTTCGTCGGTCTCAGAATGGCAGCACTGGGAGGTGATTCCAAGGGATGTAGTTTTCCAAGCTGTCTGCAGTGAAAAATCCACCTCCCTTCCTACTCCAGTGTCACTGTAGGGCTGTAGCTGCAGTGAAGGTGTCCAGGTGGGGAAGTTCAGCACAGTTTATGGAGGTATGAAAGACTATGAAGGCAAGAGGAAACCCTGCCTGTGATAGTTAACCTACTTAGAACACCAGGCAATTAATTTCTTAATTGGATCCAACTGGATTGTCCCTGTAATTATAGGTGAGCAGTCACCCTGCTCTGATGCAGCATCAGTGATGATTTCTTAATTATAGCCGTGGTTGCATCTCCAAGTATTTATTTATTTTTGAATCACAGAATAGTTTGGGTTGGAAGGGACCTTTAAAGGCCATCTAGTCCACCCCCCTGCAGTGCGCAGGGACATCTTCAACTAGAGCATGTTGCTTAGAGCCCCGTCCAACCTGACCTTGAATGTTTTCGGGGTGGGCCATCTATCACCTCTCTGGGCAACCTGGGCCACACTTCACCACCCTCATCGTGAAAAATTTTTTCCTTATGTCTAGTCTAAATCTACCCTCTTCCAGTTTAAAACCATTACCCCATGTCTTACTGCAACAGGCCCTGCTAAAACATTTGTCCCCATCTTTCTCCTAAGCCCCTTTCAGCACTGGCAGCTGCAATAGGGTCTCCCTGGAGCCTTCTCTCCTCCAGGCTGAACACCCCCATCTCCCTCAGCCTGGCCTCACAGCAGAGCTGTTCCAGCCCGCTGGTTATTTTCATGGCTGCCTCTGGCCCTGCTCCAACAGGTCCGTGTCTTTCCTGTGCTGAGGGCTCCAAAGCTGGATGCAGTACTGCAGGTAGGGTCTCAGGAGAATGGATTAGAGGGGCAGAATCCCCTCCCTCGCCCTGCTGGCCACGCTGCTTGGGATGCCCTGCCCAGGATACGGTTGGCTGTCTGGGCTACCTCCAGTCTTGACCTTTCCGATCAGTTCTGCATTAGTGGGCAACAGGTCCAGCAGTGCCTCTCCTCTGGTTGGGCTCTCCATCATGTCTGCTAGGAAGTTGTCCTCAATGCAGTCCAGTAGTTTCCTGGACTGCTTACAGTTTGCTGTGACTCTTTGCCAGAAGATGTCTGGGTGGTTGAAGTGCCCTTTCAGAATCAGGGCCTGCGAGCGTGATTCTTCCTGCAAATATCTGCTGTGGTCTTGTTTTGGGTTGGGGGCTTCTTGGTTGGGTTGCTTGTTATTCTGCACATGTGATGCAGTATGACTTCTGTGGGGGGAAAGACCTTTTCTTTGCTCCCACACCGATTCAAGGAATTGCTGTGTACCTGCAAACTGCTGAGTTGATCTCAAAGCCACTGGGCACCCCCAGCTCAAAGCTGTTTGCTGGACAAAGTGACCTCCCGGTCCTGGTGAGAGCATCCTGGTTCTAGGGAAGAGTGTGGTGAGCTTGTGCCCTTGCTGAGTGCTAAGTGATGGGCCAGCCCCCTGTGCTTTGTTGCAAGACAGACAACAAATAGTTCCCAGACAAAGCTGGCCCAGAAGAAGAGCTTTCCGTGTGGCCAGCAGTGCTCCGGGGCACGTTGTAATCTGGCCCTGTAGAAAGCATGGACGGGGGGATCAGTGCTTTCTTAGCAGTTTGCCTTAACGTCAATAGTTGATTTCAGGCTCTTTGGCTAGCAAAACCACAAAAATCCTTTCCTAAAAATCCCCTTGAGATACTCTGAGTAGGAATACTGTTCTAGTAAATAAGGTCAGATCAGTAAGTCTGGTTTGTACAAGAGGTTTAATAATCGCCTTGTATATGAGTAATTTTTCTAACTGTTAACAGATTTTATGACTGGGAGTATTGTTTTTGCAGCGTAAAGAAGGCACTGCACCCTGTTACCGTGGCAGTGTTGTTTCCTGCCCCATTCCCAGTGTAACTGATCCTGAAGCTTCAAGAGCAGGAGCTGTCAAGAAATAAACCGTGGCTTGCCAATTGGAGAGCGCTGGCCGCTGATATGAATTGAGTTTGCCCAGCAAGATGTGCTGGGTCCATCTGTGGGAACCTCCTCCCGTGAAAGTAAAAAGCATAACTCCACATTACCTCTTGTTATTCTCTGTGACTCCCAATGCAGATTCAAACCCAGCGTGGTGACTCCTGGCCTGACTGTGACCACTGGGAGCTGTCAAAGCTCTCTTGGTCCCAAAGCTCTTTGGTATTTCCGTACTTGCCCCCTCCCAGAAGAGAGCTCCAAGTCCTGTAGGCCTCTCTCTCCAAAAGGATACTGTGAGCTGCTGACTCGAATAGCACAGCCCGGCAGATGTTCCTCAGACACATTCCTCTGCCTTTCAGGAGTTATTGCTGCTGGTGGTGATGCTTGTTTTCTCTGCCATGTTGGCAAGAGAGCACCTAGATCTGCCAAAATCTGAAAACTTGTGTCTTCATTTGCTCTGATGCTTAGGAGAAAACCGTTGGTGTGGAGTTACTGCAGCTGTAGAGAGGAGGTGCTTGGGTTGGGCATCAGCAAGTGGTGGGAGACCCTCAGACCTCAATTCTGGAAGGTCCCCACTGTGAAGGAGATCACCTTCCCCCTGCCTGCCCCCCTGAAGCCTGGCTTCAGGCAGAGCAGAGCGGTCCTTGCAGCTGGTAGGGCTCACACCTACATGCTGTAGCTGAAGGTAAATGCAACTTCTCCAGCATTTAGTTGCAGCCAGAAATTGGGATGGCTCTGCAGAAAATGTAAAGGGTGAAACTATGAAACTTGTTTTTGTGTTGTTTTTTTAAAGAAATGTCTCTTAATTAACTTGTTTTAATGACTAATATGTGTTGTTGCTTCCAGGTCAGGGGTCATCACATTGCAAAGCTTGATCCTCTCGGCATTAGTTGTGTAAATTTTGATGATGCACCAGTAACTGTTTCTCCAAACGTCGGTGAGAATTACTCTGCAAATTAATTCTAATGTAATTTAACTTTTTTACCCCTCCCCTCTTTTGTTTTTCTCCCTCTCCTCTCTCTCTCTTGGTACCTGTTCTCCTTTCCATTCCTGGCCCATTTCATAGATTCGAGGGCATCATGTAGCACAGCTCGACCCACTGGGCATCTTGGATGCAGATCTGGACTCCTCCCTTCCAGCCGATATTATCACATCCACAGACAAACTGGGTGAGGGCTTATGAGAGCAGTTAGTGCTGCATTGCTTGAGCTCTTCTCTCTTTCACAGCTTTGTAGGTAGATTGCTTCACCAGTAAGGGGGGGAAAGGTCTTAAGTTTCCTTAGTAATGATCACTCTAAATTTATAGTTGACTGGCTGCTGAGGAGCAGTTCTGCCCCCCTCCGACTGGCATGATGAATGGGTCTTGTGCCAAAACCCTATTGCTCAGCTCATGTTTCTCCTCCATCCACTGCCAATTAATTATGTCATTGAACTTGCTCATCCAGGGGTGGAGGCAATTGCATCTTCTGGAATTGCAAAAAAGAGGGGTTTTGTGTTGGTGAGAGCTGGAGGTCTGTTCCCTTAGCTCCTTCTGCTGCTCTTGGGGGCCCTGAGAGCTGGGAGGAATGGGCTAGTTTCACCTCTGCAGGGCTGAGAAGCACCTCTTGGTGCCCCCCTGCAACAATGCCCTGCCCTCCTTTGCTCCCAGCTTGCTGCAGCATCTGTAAATCCCTTAATTGTCCCCTTTTTCCAAGACTGAGCTATGAGTCCCTGCTGGTGATCATAACAAGGAAGCTTTGGGATGTGTTCCCATCCAAGTAGAGAAGTGGAAATCCCAATGTCTTCGAACGAAAGATGCATGAGTGTTGCACAGAAGCGTGTGTGGTGCCTAGAACTTGAAATCCTAATCTGAAAGTGCTTAAGCTTGGCACCTCTCAACATGCTGTAGATTTGATCACTGTAGTGCGCTGCCATTCTTCTAGCTAGAACAAGGTTGCAGCACTGAGCTCTTTCACCTTGCTGGTGCTTTCCGAGGGTCATTACCCTGGCAATACGAGCACTCGAGAGGCATGCTTCTAACTTAGAGTAGAGCAGCAGTAATGATTACTAACCTTGCACAACTGAAACAGCTGATCAGAGCGTATGGTGCATGTAAACCATCTTGATTCCTTGTTCGGCTGCCAGTGCAGGGGCAGCAGCCCTGGACCTGCTGGACCTTCATACAAGATTACGTGTACTGGGAGTGGTAGGGAAGGGTTAAGTTTTGGTTGTCTCAGTTCACTGGATGGTGAGGAAGCTGCTTCATCCTGAGGTCTGGACTTCTGACGTGCTTGTCCAGAGGACCAAGCCCTGGCTGTGCCTTGGGAGCCAGCCAGCTCTGGGTTGGAGCAAGCCCTGTGCCTGGGAGGTTTTGATGGGAAGAGGTGGGGAGATGATCGCCATGAGCCCAGGTGCAGGAGGGGACACAAGTACTTGTAGTTGGCACTGCAAGGGGAGCAGGGAGACTTTTATAGGTGACTTTGAAGCCACTCCCAATGGCGGGGGAGAGGAAAGGTTGATGGAAAGCCTTTTCTAGCTCAGGGTTTTTGGCCTCTGCTGTGGGCACTATGGTCCTTCTGAAGCAGAGCAGTAGAGGAGAGCCCTGAAGCCCTGTGCCTGCTACATGTTTTCCTTTTGAGAGGACAGCAGGGTCTGCATGAAAGCCAGAGCTGGCTGGCTGGAAGTGGTTGCAGTGACTGCTCTCCTTCATGAGAAAAGGGAGCCGGGTGTAGGGAGCAGAGTTACCGTGCTGCCCAGTAAGTCATTAGACTCACAGAGTGGTTTGGGTTGGAAGGGACCTTCGAAGATCTTCTAGTCCAGCCCCCTTGCCATGGGCAGGGACATCTTCAACAAGATCAGGTTGCTCAGAGCCCCATCCAATTTGGCCTTGAATGTTTCCAATGATGGGACATCCACAACTTCTCTGGGCAACCTGGGCCAGTGTCTCAGCTACCCACAGCATAAAAATTCCCCTTCCTTATGTGCAATCTAAACCTACCCTCTTTTAGTTTAAAACCATTGCCTCTTCTCCTGTCACTACAGACCCTGGTAAAAGGTCTCTCTCTGTCCTTCTCATAAGCCCCTTTTATATACTGAAAGGCCACAGGAAGGGCTCCCTGGGGCCTTCTCTTCTCCAGGCTGAAAAACTCCAACTCTCTCAGCCTTTCTGCACAGCAGAGGTGTTCCAGCCCTGGGATGATTTCTGTGGCCTCCTTTGAACCCACTCCAACAGGTCCATGTCTTTCTTGCACTGGGGACCCCAGAGCTGGATGTAGTGCTCCAGGTGGGTTGTCAGGAGAATAGAGGGGGAGCCAGCAGTAGACCTGCTGGTCACGCTTCTTTGTATGCAGCCCAGGAGATGCTTGGCTTTCTGGGCTGCGAGTGCACATTGATGTCTCATGTCTCATTTGTTACCCAGCAGCATCCACAAGTCCTTCTCTGCAGGGCTGCTCTCCAGCCATCCATCCATCCAGCCCCCAGTCTGTGCTGGGACTGGGGATTACCCTGAACCTTGCACTTCAACTTGTTGACCTTCATGAACTTCACAGGGGCCCGCTCCTCCAATCTGTCCTCTGGATGGCATCCCTTCCCTCCAGCATTACCAACTGCACCACTCAGCTTGGTGTCACGTGCAACCTGTCTGAGGGTGCCCTTGATCCCACTATCCATGCCATTGATGAAGATATTAAATTGTATTCGTCCCAGTGTGGACCCTTGACGGACACTGCTCCTTATGGTTTCCACGTGGACATTGAACTCCCTGGGCTGCTTCAATGAGGAAAGTCAGTTTAGATGGCTTTTCTTCTGCTCTGACTATGTGGTTCTTCTGAAGCCAGGTGTGCTCCAGCAGCATCCTTGCTTCAGAGGAATAAGAGTCCAAGAGCCCAAAGTGGTCCAAGAACAGGTCCTCCCCTGGAGCCCCAACTGCAGAACTGCTGTGACAGCATCGTCACAGCTATAACAGAATCTGGGTAAAGCGGGATGAGCTCCATTTTTCCTGCTCCCCCAGGGTGAGCAATCATGAGCCCAACAGTGTGACCCAGCCCGGCTCGCACTGATGCAAAGTGTTCAGGCATGTCTGGTCTGTAGGCATCGGCTGGAAGAGAATCTCAGCCCACAATCTCTGTGTCTGTGCCAGGCGTTAAGTTTAATTTCTGTTTCTTTGTGGCTTTCATACTAAGATATCTGCCATTGTGGTTCCTGGTGTTGATTTAATTACCAGGAATCCATGAATTCATAGGAAATAACGAGTCCTGGGAACAAGCTATGCTGGTATCCGCTGCTAGCTCACGCTGGGTTTGTGTCCCATGGTAGGACCCCAGACTCAAATGGCTGTGTCTAATCAAAGGAGGGTTTATTATTTTGCTGTAAGTATTATTTATGACTGGGGTAAGGGTAGACTTTCCCCTGGTATCCTTGTCCTGGAAGGCCTCATCTGGTGGGTCTTAAAATACAACTTGGTGAACATAGCTTGCCAACAATGCTCAGTGAAAGGGGAGGAGAGCAGTGCTGGTGCAGAGCTTGGGCAGAGCTCTGTCTGAGCCTACAATTGAGTGTCACCTGTTTGTGGCTGAGAAAGCCAATTTCTAAGCAGATCCTGCTGGCTTTTTTTGCTTTGGAAGAGTATTTCTTAACACTTGACAGAGCAGTTAATAATAGGAGTGTTTTGAAACTTGGAAACAATCTTGTTTCCTCTTTCTGAGCAATGAAGTCCTTAAACGTCATCTTTTGTGGTGTGAGCTCTGCTGCCAACAGCTTAAACAGTGGCCAGGCAGTGCCATAATTCAAAGAAGTTGCATGGTTAATCTTGGAAATTGATCTTTCCTCTCAGTTGCTTTTTGTTTAGCAACTGGTTTCTGTCTGGTTTGGAAGGCCTCTTTGGATTAAGCAGTGTGAGCTTTGGAGAAAATGTAAGGGGGAGAAAGCCTGCCTGGGGGTACTCGGTCTGAGGGAGCAGTGGGGCTGGAGTCACCAAATTCCTCTTCCTCTTGTCTTGTCTTCTTGAAAAACAAAGTAATCTCATCCTTGTCTTCTACTGCAGCTGATCTGGCATGGTAAGTGGTGTAAAACAAGGACAAGATGACTGCAGGAACTTGATGTGACCTGTCCAAGGAAATAATACCTTAGCACACTGAAATCCAGGTGGTGCATGGAAGGCGGTGTGTGTCTGAGTGTCCATATGTCTGTCTGTCTCTCTGTGTAAGGCAGCTTCTCCTGCCTCTTGCCCAGCGGGATTTACAGAAATTTTCCTCCAGCTAGGGAAGAGCCAGGCGAGCCCCTGCAGGGTGATGGGCTGGGAGTGCTGCCACCTCCCCTTTCCCCAGTTTCAGACCTTGCTAACCAAACACATCACCTAAGCATATGATTTTTTCCCCGCTGACCAAAAGAAGTGTTTCCAAAGCCTTTCTTGTAACCCGGGTGAGACTGAGGCACTCAGGTCACCGAACCTAGCTGGGGAGTACAGCTCTGGTGACACATACTGCCCACTGCTCCAGCAGCCCTGCCTGCATCCGTCACTCCCGCCTGTGCTGAGCATGCTCGAGAAGTGACGGCATTGTGTGTGCCGTGGTCTTCCTCATTAACGGCCTGCTCGTTAACACCCCGATCCCCCTCCTGCCTGTGTGTAGGCAGCAGTGGTGCCTCCTTCAGGGTGACCTTGAAATCCTCCCAGTAGCAATGAGCTGAGCAAAACCCTTGGGGAGCAGATGTTGGTGGGAGGCAGCTCCCTCCTCTGCAAAGGATAACACTGCCTTTGATGCAGCTTGACGGGAAGATGCCTTTGGGTCGTAGCAGGTGAAGACGCTGTACCGGGCAGTCTTGCTCTCCCGTCCAAGGTGTGCACACGAGAGGAGACCTCAAACCATGCAGCTCAACTGCTCCCCAGTGTCTGATGCCCCGCATTCCCCTCCCTGCTCCTCTCTCCTCTCACCAGACTTTCTACCGGGATTTCTTTTCTGCCTAGTGCGTAGTCATCCTCCATCCGAACCTTTTTGCCTCTGATGGTTTTTAACTGTATTTTAAATACTGTATTTTTTTGACTTGTGCTTTCCATGACTAGTTTTCACGGTTTCAGGTTTTGGTTTTTTTACTAACTTTGACTGCGTGTCTCTATCTTCTCCTTTTCTGCACCCCCTGTCCCTGCCCACCCCAGATCTTGCAGTGTTCAAGGAGCGGCTGAGAGTGTTAACAGTAGGAGGTATGCAATTAATGAGCCTTTAACCCTCTGGAGTGCAGGACTCTCTTTGAATAGGTTATTCTGGGCACGAACCAGGCTGGTAAAGTGGTTCCCTCCTATCTTGCACCACTCTTGAGTTTTGTAACATCTTAATTTTTAATTTGTCCCACTAAAAGCCTCAATGTAGGTGCTTGGTTACTGATGCTTCACCTGTAGAGATCCCCAATTTAGAGCCTTGCTGACCTTTTCCATACTGTGTGTTTGCATGCCTAGCTTGCTAGAGTACACATTTTGTTGTGGACATTCGTTTTACGAGGCCTCAATCTCCCCGATTGGTTCAAGTCTCCTAAAAATCCCAGGTGTCTTCTCCTGACTCTGCCCTGGTTTTGTCCCAGTGAAAATTTGGCAGCTCATCCCTAGCCTTTTCGCCCATCTGATGGTGTTGCTGCCTATAAATACTCAGCACTGTCAAAAAAGCTGGCAGGCTGCAGCAAAGCAGAAGCAGAGAGGCTTAGAGCCCTCAAAACTGCTGATACCCCTGAAGTGTGCCTGAGTCTTCAAACTGGTGTGGCAGAGCAAGCTGAAGCCCTGTGCTGCGGGGCTGGGAGCCACAGCAAATTACCAAGGCTTCCTGGAAACCTCTAGCCAGCAGTTTAACTGGGATGCTCTGTACTAATGCCGCCTCTCTCCAGGACTGATGTTTGGACAGGAACCACAGAGGAGTCCTGGAAACACTGGGCCAAACCCTCAGCTCCTGCCAGCTGTGGTTCAGGTGTTCCGAGGCACGGCTTGAGAGCTGAGCTCCTGGGGTCTGGCTTAATTCCTTCCCCAGCGACTAGCAGCATCCAGGAGGGTGATGTGGGCAGAGGAGGGGATGGATGGCATTGGCAACCAGGAAAACCTCCGCTCTGAGCTTGTGGGTGTTCCCAGCCTCTGGCAAGCACCATCCTCAAGGCTGCAGAGGCGAGCTGTGGCCAGCCCCGTCTCTAGCTCATCCTCCACTCCTGACCAGTGAGCGAGGGATAGACTTCTTTAAGATTAAATTCTAGGGGGGCCAGCCCTGGAGGGGACAATTTTTGCCTCCCTTTGCTCAGAAGAAGGTGGGTTATGCCACCCTGCAGCATTTAGGGGGTGGCATCCCCCCATACCCTCCCTAAAAGAGACCCAAGCTGGGGCACTAGGCTGGTTTGGAGCGAGCTGGGAGGAGCAGTGGTACTCTGTCTCCTCCGTGGCTCCTTCCTTGGCTTAGAAAACACCTTGAAACCTGGTTATGATGTTGTGAGTTTGGGAGGGACAAACAGGGGCCCAAGGGAGGTGTTAGGGCTCTGGGCCAGCAGTGGGCAGCTCTGCTTGTCCGCCCGACTTCCAGCCAAGTTCCTACTTCAAAAGGGTCTTGGGACTCCCCAGTCCGGTTCCTGGCTCTGCTTCTGCCTTACTGCGTCAGTTCAGCGAGTTCATTGTCCCTCCTCCATGCCTCGGTTTCCCCAAAGAAATTAATGAGCTTCAGCGGGCGCTGAGGCACCTTGCAATGGCTTTGGGGTACCGTGGAGCTGCTGTGGGCCCTGGCAGGGACCTGCCGATGCTGTAACAGCAGCACATGGCGGTGGGGGGTTCACCTGCAGCTCTAAAACCCAATGATCGGCTCTGAGCCCTGCTTGGCACCTTCTCCAGGCACAGCCCAGCTCCCCGCAGCCCTGCGTGCCATAAGTAGGAGCCACCTACAAACCATGAGGTGCCAGCACCAAGAAGGAGGGGGTTTGCTGGGCAGAGCTAGGCTAAACCCCTAATTGAAAGGCTGTTAATTGGGGTGAGAGGGTACCTGGACAGCAAAACCCTGAGGGGCTGGCCGGCTGCCCTGCTCCCGGGCTGAGCTATTCAGGAGAGTCCATCGCAGAGCCCTGATGCTGTTTTCTCTTGCTTCTTTTTCTCTCTCTCTTTGGGGTTTGTCTGTTTTAACCGTTTCCTTCTCTGTGTTGACTCTTCATTTTTAATTCCCACCATGTGGCAACACCTCCGTTGTGCTTGGTGGCTCCTCACTTCCTCTGTTTCTTTTTCTCTCCCCTTTCATAATTTGTGGTGCATTTTTTGTGTTGTTGGGGCTATAAACTTCCTGACTCTTACCCTGGATTTTAATTACCAATTTACATGTGTATACATATTGCTTTGTGTTTCGTTTCCTGCATTACTTTTTGTAATATCCTTGTTGTTCTGTGCTTAATGTCCTTTTGTTTAATTATGGCTTGGTTTTTATCCATATAAACCTCCTTCATGCTTATTTTTGGTTTTATGCTGCTTTTTTTTTGTCCCTTCCCCACCTCTCCCAAACACACCCGGTCCCTGCGTGACGGTGTCCCCCCCTTCCTTCCTTCCTTCCTTCCTTCCTTCCCTCCTTCCTTCCTTCCCTCCTTCCTTCCTTCCTTCCTTCCTTCCTTCTCTCTCTTGCTTTCGCTTGTCCCACCCCTGAAAAATCCTGCAGGCTTTTATGGGCTGGATGAATCTGACCTCGACAAAGTCTTCCACTTGCCCACGACCACTTTCATTGGTGGAAATGAATCAGCTCTTCCACTCCGGGAAATCATCCGTCGGCTGGAGGTGAGGAGGGCAGGGAGGGCTGTGCAAGACCTGCTTGCAGCCCAGGGCGGGGGCAGAGCAGTTGCTTTTTGAAGGTCCTGGGCCCTGATGCTGCCCACAGCCTGGGCCAACCTGTGGATTTTAAGCTTTTCAGGTTGGGAGCTGCTCCTTGGCACTTGCCCCGCTTGTAGCAGCTGCCCTGTGTTACCTGCTTATCTCTGACCACCTCCAGCTTCATGCTGTGCTGGGGCAACGCGTTTGGTCTACCAAAGGTGGCGCAAACCCCAGGCAACTAAATACTGCATTTTTTGAAACCTCTGCAGCTATGTTTTCCAGTTTAAAGTAGCAAACAGTGCTGGGAGAGCACAGGAGTGGGCTGGAGGCAGGCGATACCCGGCTCCATGCACTGCATTGTGCTGCTACTCTGCATGGTGGCCTCTTGGAAGGTCTTGGTGCAGGAGCAACTCCAACCTGGGGCTGGGGCTTCCAGCTCTTGCAGCCAGTTCCCCTTTCCTGCCAAATTTCATACCCTGCTCCCTTGGGTCTGAGAGCACAGACGGCTCCCAGGCAAGCTGCAGGCTTGCTCAGTGGTCTTTGCCAAGACAAGTTGACCTTGGGAGAAGCAAAGCTCTATCAAGATCTTAGATAAGCTGCAAGAATGGGCTCCTTATTTGTGGGGGAGGTTGTTTTGCTGATTCTGCCCCCGCCATATGAAGTGGGTTGTGGACCTGATCAGAGCTGATACCACTGAGAGGGAAAATCTCATCTCTGAGGTGGATGTAAAGGACTGGAGTGTCTGGTCCTAGGCCCCTTGGGGAAAGGGAATTAAACATTTTGATGCTGGGTCATGTGCAGGGTCCAAGCTGCCCCACAGCATCTGGGGACATCCCCTGCACTGTCGCCTTTCTCGGGAAGGCAGCTCAAACCAGGCTGCCAAAACGGGGCTGGCATGGGGCTGGCTGCTGGGCACTGCTCATGGGTCCCGCTGCCACTGCAGGCAGCGCTTGCCCATGTTCAGGCAGCGCTTGCCCGTGTTCAGGCAGCGCTTGCCAGTGTTCAGGCAGTGCCATGCGGCTGCCAGGGCAGGAGGGTTTGTGTCTCTGCTGGTGCAGGAGGGCTCTGTGTCTTGCTGAAAGGTTAAAGAGGCGAGTGAAAGATCCCCTGGCCCTGTGGACTGATACGATGCTGTGCCTGTCTGCGGGGGGTGAGGAGGTGCTAAAGCCCTGGCTGTTGTTTCACGGCCCTTCTCCTGTCGGGGCAGATGGCATACTGCCAGCACATCGGCGTGGAGTTCATGTTCATCAACGACCTGGAGCAGTGCCAGTGGATCCGGCAGAAGTTTGAGACCCCGGGCATCATGCAGTTCACCAATGAAGAGAAACGCACACTGCTGGCCAGGCTGGTCCGCTCTACCAGGTACCTTGAGGGGGGGGGTCTTCACTTTCCCCTTATCTTCCCTTGCTGCACTGGGTGGTTTGCTCCCAGCTGGAGTGACACGATCACCACCTGAGTCACATCTTGACGTCATCTGTCACGGCTGGCTTAATCAACAGGGCGACACCAGCAGGCTGGCAGGCTCAGGTGCTGGCAAAGAGCCCAAAAACATGGATGATCCTGAAAGAAAAGGTCTAAAAATAAGGTTTAAGTGCAGCACAGTGTCAGGGTGGGGGAGCAGCTAGCTGGGCTCTGCAAGAGGAGACTGGGGTGACCGGGAAGGCTGTCGGGTTGCTGCGTGATGCCTGCTTAAGCATCACTGTGTGCCGTGACTCCCTCAGTGCAATCCCCATCCTTTCTCTGGTTTCTGCCCTCAGTAGCCCTGGCACTGATCCCTGTCTCCCTTTGCCTCCAGGTTTGAGGAGTTCCTCCATCGGAAATGGTCTTCGGAGAAGCGTTTTGGTCTGGAGGGCTGTGAAGTGCTGATCCCAGCCTTAAAGACCATTATTGATAAGTCGAGTGAGAAGGGCGTGGATTATGTTATCATGGGGATGCCCCACAGGTAACCCTGCTTGTCTCCGCAGCGGTGCTTAAGGCATGGAGGAGGGGGTGCTGCCGGGGTTTGGTACTGGAAGGCACACTGGTTTCTGCCATCACCTAACTGGTCTTGGCTGATGGTGAACCTTAGCTGGAGACCTCAGTCCTTGGCTGCTCTCTGCTCATCACAGTGTTTTCAGCTTCAGCTCTTCTGTAAATTCATCTGGAGAGGGGTGGTGGCTCGAGTGGCAGAGCTGGAATCTCAGAGCAGGATTCTGGGGCAGCTGTCAAGATGTGATGGCAGCAGATCCATCCCCATGCTGAGGGGTCTGCAGTCTCCTCGGGTGAAACTGCAGAGCCGCTTCCCCAGCTGACCCTACAGCCATTGCGGGAGGTGTGGGCTTGTTGAACCACCTCTGCATGATGGAGGGGATGGCAGGTCACTATCTGCACTCGATGCCAGGCTGGCACTGCTGGTTGCCAACAACAGTCTTGCTTTTGCAGGGGACGCCTGAATGTTCTTGCCAATGTGATCAGGAAAGAGCTGGAGCAGATCTTCTGCCAGTTCGACTCCAAGCTGGAAGCTGCTGATGAGGTGAATCTCCTCTGCTCATAGCAGGTTGCTGTTGCCTGTCCCTGTGTGGTCCCCAGAGGCTATGGCTGTGCAGAAAGAGCTGGATTGTGCCACCGCTTGTGGCATCACTTGGTCGTGTTGGCATCGCAAGGATTTCCATGTTGCATGCACACCTGTGCGACTGAAGCCTTCGTGTTGGTGCCAGTGCTGGTCTGTCCTTGCCTGTCCTAGGGGTGACCTGTGCCCTGGCTGCTGCCAGTGTCTCCAGCGCAGGCTGGGCGGTCAGCAGCTCTCCATGGTGTAAAGCAGCCTTGGAGTGAGCGACAAGGTGAGGGGAAGGCAGCCGGGGCAGAGGTTAGTTCGTACCCTTGCAGAAGCCCCATGTCCCCATACAGGGTCCTAAAGCACCTCCAAATGCCCCAAGGCTCAAATCGCTTGTGCCGCAGGCTCTGTCGCTGCAATGCACTCGTGCTTCCAGCATCATAAGCCAGCATGATTTGGCTTTTGGAAGTTGGGCTGGCTTTATCCTTCTGTGCTCTTCAGGTGGGGTTTTGAGGTGAGAAAGCAGCAGCCTGGGGTGTTGAGGTGCCCTGACTGGGAACTGCAGCGTATTGTGAGCAGTGCCAGGGACAGCTGTACTGCCACAGTGTGGGCAGAGCTTGTGCGAGTGTTACCTGTTTTCCAAACCCGCCACACTTGGTTCTTCCCCTGCACCTACAACCTTACCTAGAGGGGTTTGACGCATGTCTGATGTTTGTTGGCCGTTTGGCACCTGGAACAGGCTACTTTTGCTTTGCTGAGTGCCAGGTCAGCTCCTAAAGTGAATGCCTGCTGCTTTCTGCCAGTGCCTCCAGAAAACGCCCTTTTTTTCCAGCCCCTGGGGTCAGCGCTGCCCTGCCTCAGGTCTCCTTCCGTGCCCCAAACACCACTCACGTTCGTGGGGGTTACTCTCCTCTCCCCTCCATCAGGGCTCCGGTGACGTGAAGTACCACCTGGGAATGTACCACCGGCGGATTAACCGTGTCACTGACCGGAACATCACCCTTTCCTTGGTGGCAAATCCTTCTCACTTGGAGGCAGCTGATCCTGTTGTTCAAGGCAAGACTAAAGCAGAGCAGTTTTACTGTGGGGACACAGAAGGGAAGAAGGTGAGTGGTGCTGAGATGCTTGCACTGAAGTGGCCTGGGCTGGATGGGGTTTGGTGGGAGGCAGGCTGGTGGGAAAGCGAAGAAACCGAGATGTTTTTGGTTTGCCCTACCCCTTCGCCCTGCTGTCACTCTGCTATCACCCTGACTTTGCTCCCCCATCCTTCCCTGGCTGTCTTTGTGGATAACTTTGGTAGGGGCTCACCCACCCCAGGCTCCCATTGCTGCTTCCTCCATCTCCGAAAAACCAGCTCAGCCAGGCCACAGGGAGCCACAGATGCCCAAACCCCTGCTTGGAAAGCAGGCAAATGAAGGGCATTTCCGAAAGCCAACCTGGGATTCACAGCTTGGAGGGCTCAGCAGTAGGACCCTTAAGCTGAAGAATCTCAACATGACCAGGGATAACCAGTCGTGGGGCTGGGAAAGCTGGAGCTGGCAGCAGGTGGCAGCTCTCCACATCCTGGTGCGAGAGCAGGTGGGGAAGGGGCTGGAGGGGCGGTTTATTTGCAGTCTGATTCATTGCAGACCTGTCTCCAACACCAAAAAGTGGAAGGGTGAGATCAAAAGTGCTTCCCTTCCTTCTACACCCCAAGAGCTTGATATAAATAAGACAAACTTTGTCCTCGTCTGACCCGCAGTGTTCTCAACCAGTGCCTGGGTACGGTAGCAAGATAATGTCACAGAATCACTAAGGTTGGAAAGGA